TAGTGAGGAGCTGAACACAGCCACCACAGCTGGAACATTACCAAAGAAGTGGCTATTTGATTGACAGCTGGCTTGGCCTACATACAGGTAGAAACATTAGTCATTAGGAATTAGACATTAGGAATGTCAGAAATATTGTTCTGAGGTCTGTAACCCTTGAGAATCTCTGAGAGACAACGAACAGTTCCCATCCACCCTCCATTTCTGCCCAAACTTCTCCTGGGAAATTGCCACCTGAAATGCAGAATACAGAAGAGAGTCTGACAGCTGTGTCAAGCAGCTGAACCTTTGACATCTGACAGCTTCAATCATTTTAAAGGGGGGGAAAGCATAAAAGAGATGATTACAACCACGATCTAACATGAAATTGACATTTTTCTTTGAGGAATTTTTACCTAAGAACAATTAAACCCTAACTAAATACTCAGGGAAAGTTCAGTCTTTTTGATGTGTTTCTGAAAGACACATATAGCTGGAATAGGAAGATAAATAACCAAAATTGATAATATTTCATAATAATCGGGGGGGAAGTATTGAGTAGAAGAATGGTGGAAAACGATGTGGAAGGCTGAGTATGGTGGTCATCCCAGCTACTTGAGAGGTAGAGATAGAAGGATTGAAGTTCAAGGCCAGCCTGGGCAACAGATTAATAAGACCTTACATCAAATAAGAAGCCAAACATGATGGTTCATGCCTGAAATCACAGCTGCAAGAGAGTCTATTTGAAAGAACCACCATTAGAGGCCATCAAAAGGCAAAGCTTGAGACCCTGAGAAAGAACTGAAACAAAAAGAGCTGGAGGGCTGGGAAGGTGGCTCAGTGGTAGAGCACTTGCCTTGCATGCATGAGGCCCTGGGTTCGATTCCTCAGCACCCATAAGCAGAAAAAGCCAGAAGTGGTGCTGTGGCTCAAGTGGTAGAGCACTAGCCTTGAGCTGAAGAGCTGAGGGACAGGGTCCTGGCCCGGAATTCAGGCCCCAAGACCAGACCCAAAAAAAAAAAGAGCTGGAGACATGGCTCAAGCAGTAGAGCATTTACCTAAAGAGAGAGGAAGGACAGTGAAAAAGCACATATGGAGACATAATCTCACATAGTGAATCAAGTTTTCTCATGTGTCCGTATGGCACTAATATTCTGTTGAAAACAGCATCTATTGGCCAGATGTAGTGAGGTTTGCCTAAATAATCTCTGTACTTGGGAGGCTGAGACAAGACAATCAAGATTTTGAGGTCAGCTGAGGCTACATTGAAAATTGAAGGCCAGCCTGAGTAATACAGAAAGACCCTGTCTTTCCAAGCACTGGTGGTTTATGCCTGTAATCCTAGCTACTCAGAAGGCTGAGATTTGAGATTTGTGGTTCAAAGTCAGCCCAACCAGGAAAGTCTGTAACTCATCTCCAGAAATCCAAAAGTAGAGCTATGGCTCAAAGTGGTAGCTTTGAGCAAAAGTCAGGAACAGTGCCCAGGCCCTGAGTTCAAGCCCCACAACCAAAAAAAAAAAAAAGACCAGAGAAAGAGAAAAAGAAGTATTTCTCAATTTTAAGCATCTTGGAATGTGTCCCCTGCAGATAAGCTCTACTGTACTATAGTTTCATTTAGAATGCAAATTCAATTTCACAAAGTTAAATCTCTGTTCTATAAGAGCATTTTTCCCTGGGAAAGAATAAACATATACCCTTTGGATGATCCAAAACTGACGGACTTTTGTCCTGGAGTGTCTACCATGACTTAATGTTAGCCCAATAAGTTCCCTTCCCATAGTTTAGCATGCTCTTCTTCTAGGCAACACTAGGCCCATTTGGTACAGGCAGTAAATAATAGGCTTCCACTGCCCTTTACTTTGAGATGGCACTCCTTTGGGGCAGTTACAGTCATATAAAGGAACCAGTTCCCCTTAGAGTGACCTTCAAGTCTGCACAACTGCACACCCCTTATCTGCCACTTGGGCAGCAGGCATGAATCCTAGCTTACCATGATGAAGCCCCTCATCCACACATCCACACTAAGGTCTCTGACCCCTAGCCTCATAAGTTATATAGGTCACCTCAGACAATAGCCTGAACTACTCTCTTGTGAGAAGGTGTCTTTGCTGGCAATAAACTTTTCTGTGTTCTTTGTGCCTGGATGCTTGCATGGTTTTCTGGCAAAGTTTGCACACACCTGCAAAGGGCCTAATTAAGCAACAAGTAATCTACAAAGACTAACCTCTAGCGATAAGAGACAGGATGAGTTTAGGAAACTGAGAAATCTAAAAATGTATTGCTCATAGCTAAGTAAAATGTAAATATTCCATACCCAAACATTTTTTGAAAGTCTTAAATTTATATGTATGAATACAATAATGGCTTATAAAATTTTAATAAGCAAAATTTATATGCAATATTGTTATATATAAATTAAATATATAACAAATTGGATATAAATATACATTAAATATATCATATGTTTATATTATAGCATATAAATATATTACATATAATAAAAATATAGTTACAAATATATTTGTAATATTTTTACACATACTAATTAGTCCTATTAATCATCATTAACTAGTTCTATTTTGTTTAGACAATAACACTTTCTTTGGTCGATCGTGGGGCTTGAACACTGGGCCTGAGCACTGTCCCTGAGTTCTTCAGCTTAAGGGTAGCACTCTACCACTTGAGCCACAGCCACAGTACCACTTCCGGTTTTCTGGTGGTTAATTGAAGAGTCTCATGGACTTTCCTGCCTGGGCTGGGTTTGAACTGTAATCCTCAGATCTCAGCCTCCTGAGTAGCTAGAATTACAGGCATGGGCCACCAGTGCCTGTCTTTTTCCTTAAAAAAAATTTCCTACCTTGCACTTATTCGGCCTATTTCAAGATGGGAAATGAGTAGTCGGGTGACACTCATATGTTATGAGGAACATGGGGAGCATGGGGGGGGGAGTGGCCTGGAGGAGTGTGGAGGAACAAAGTGTGTGCGTGGAGGCACGTGCAGGAGTGGAGGAGTCCGCTTGAGCCTGGGGCACGTGAACCAGCATGGGGGACAGAGAGGTGCGTGGGGAGGGGCAGGGAGAAGCCTGGGCAAGCGGACGGGGCGGGGAGAAGCGTGGAGGACATGGAGGTGCATAAGGGCATGCATGGAGGAGCGTAGGAGGGCGTGGAGGTTAGTGTAGCGTGGGTGAGCATGGAGGAGCATGGGGAGTGTGGAGGCGGGGGGATGTGGAGGTGCGTGAGGGGCGTGGAGGAGCGTGCGCAAGCGTGGACATAGAGGAACGTGAGGGGCGTGGAGGTGTAGGGGAGACTTGGAGGAAAGTGAGGAAGCATGGAGGGATGTGGGGGGTGTGGAGTAGCGTGGGCAAGTGTGGAGAGGCGTGGAGGAACGTAGGGGGCGTGGAGGAGCGTGAGGGCCACGTTCTGAAGGAACTCCAGGCCTCTGGAAACAATGTATTCATAACGCACAGCTCCACCACTCTGCACACAGTTCAAGATGGCTTCTTGGAACTCAGATGATTCTGAACTGCAGGAACAGGTAAAAAGCTGCCCCAAAGTGAAAGGCTCCTGAAACCAAGGAAATGGATGTAAATGTTTGTGGAAGAGTGGAAGGGGAGACCTGGCAGACTGGAAGAAAACAGTCTATTATCTCTTAATCAATAACTGAGAGATGGGGTTGTGGGGCCCAGTTTAGGGAGTCTAACTTCATGGCGGTATTGAGCGAGGCTGTGGGCTTGGGCCTGTGGGGCAGGCAGTGATGGCCAGGGCAAACACATAGATAGGGAAGTTTCGGAGGTCACCCTCCTGGCACTCGTTGGTAAATGACCTGTGGAACGGCATGGGAGGGCAATGGGGGCCACCCGCTTATTTTACTGGTGGGGGTGGTGAGAGGGCCTTCGCCAAAGATGGAGGACTAAAACAAGACTTTCTGGCATATTTAAACCCACAGGTCGTTCACTGATGCTCATAGTTTGGTTTGGTTTAAAGTAATTGTAAACACTAACCAAAACTTTTTGGCTTTTCAGCTTTCTTTGTTTACTTGCTGAAGGTCCTTTTCTGAAGGCTTTTCTGAATGTAGGGAGAGATAATGAGAAATGGGTATCTAAACCTTGTGGGCCTTAGCCTAGATGAGGGTGTGGGGGAGGGGCATGGGCCTCAGCCTATATGAGTGGGGGGAGAGTGGGGGAGCAGCGTAGGCCTCAGCCTGGACAAGGGTGTGGGAGCAGAGTGCGGGTAGGTGCTTTGGCGGGAGGGTATGGGGGAGGGGTGTGAGCCTCACCCCACACAAGAGCGTGGGGGAAGGTTGTGTTGAAGGAGGGGCACTTTGGCAGGTGGGTATAGGGGAGGCGCATGGGCCTCAGCCTAGATAAAGGCGTTAGGAGAGGGTGGGGGAGGGACGCATTGGCTTTTAAGCTTTCTTTGTTTACTTGGGGTTTGGGTTGGATTTTTTTGGCCCTGCAACACACTCCCCTTCCTGCCCCCCCCCCCCCTCCCCGTCCCCTGCTGTATTGGGGTTTAAACTCTGGGCCTTCAGCTGGCTAGGCAGACATCCCATAGATGCATCCACATTTCGTACGTAGGTCAGTGCATTAACCTAATGTGCCACCCAAAGTCTTAAGTGAGGAGAGTAGACTATTGTTGAGTAAGGGTCCCAGATTTAGCAAATAGAAATCCAGGATGCCTATATACATTTGAGCAGTAGATCCACAGGATAAGTACAACCCATGCAAATCTGTGGTATAGGCTTATGCCAAAAACCTGTCTGTTGTTACTGTGGTTCTTTTTGCTTGACAATGCAGTACTAACACTGAGGCAACTTTAGGACCTCTAGTTTCTCGGCTCTTTACCTTCATTTAGGTTTGGGGGAGGCTTGGCAGCCCACTTGGCCAATTTTCCTGGCACTCTCCCCGCCCCTCGAGCCTCTCCCTGCTCGGCCCAGCCCCTTTCCCCGCCCTTAGCCCCGCCCTGCACTTGACCTGGATCTGCCCTTCGCCTTGCCCTGCCCCCTCTTCGCCCCGCCTCTCAGGCGTCTCCAGCGCTAAAAGCGCAGCTTGTGATTCCCGCCAATCGCTCTGGGCTGGAATAGCTGTACCCGACGGCCTTTCCCACACGTGTAAACCTCGCCTCCCGCCCTCCCAGGGGTGGAGCCCGACCCAGCAGTCCCCAAGCGGCTCCTTATACGCAGTCGACGACAGCCCGGCTAATATGGAGCCGAACAAGATGGCGCCTCTCAAAACCGCTCCGAGAGACGCGTTGGTAAGTGCAACCATTAAGAGGCGGGTCATGCAACCTGGTGCGATCCAGGCCCAGCGGGTAATCCCCAGATGGAGGGACTGACGGTGCCCATCCACCCCCATTTTCAGCCCAGAGAGGCGAGGAAAGGTAGCACAGGCCACTGGAGTTCCCTCTGGCCGTTCCCACGCAACTCCGGAGTGTTGTGGTCCACGTAGGATGTACGGACCGACCGCCTGGCTCTATTTCCTGGGTTTGGGTCCCTGCTGCCTTGTTGTCTCACCCTATCTACATGCTCTGATTCTATCTCCTGAGTTCTCATACTAGCTTCCTCCACACCCTCATCCAAAACTGACAACTACCTGGAGCCAGCCCTGCTTCTGGTGGAAAAACTAACATAGGTCTTTTGCATCTAACTTTGCCCCCACACACCGCCTCTGTCCCAAAAGTTGTCATCGTGACCATATGACCAATTTTGTTTGATCACTGACACACCCGGGCAGACCAGGAGCAAATTAGGTTTAAATTTGCAGGGAGGGGACCTTATACACAAATACTACCCTTCAGTCCAGCCTTGATTTCAAATACCTAGATTAAGCATCTGGGAATTTTTGATTCCACAGGTGATGGCACAGATCCTGAAGGATATGGGAATCACTGAATATGAACCAAGGGTTATAAATCAAATGCTGGAATTCGCTTTCCGTAAGTTAAACACAAGAATGTGTTGAAAGGATCGTGTATTATTAAAAAATACAAAAAAAATTCCAACTAAATTATGTGAACAGTTATCAATATAGAAATAACTAAAACACTACAAAGGAGCTAGGGAGGTGTCTCTTCAAAATGTATTCTGGCTGGGCACTGGTGGCTCATATGTGTAATCCTAGCTACTCAGGAGGCTGAGATCTGAGGATGTAAGTTCAAAGCCAGCCCAGACAGGAAAGTGTAAGACTCTTATCTCCAAATAACTGCCTAAAACCTAAAGTGCAGCTGTGGTTCAAACTGGTAGAGCTCTAGCCTTGACCAAAAGAGCTCAGGGATAGGGCCCAGGCCCTGAGTCCAACCCCAGAATCGGCACAAAAAAAAAGAAAAAAAAATGTGTTCTACATATACCAATTAATCATTAAAACAATAAACTTTCCAAAAATTAGAGGAACCTTTTAAGACAAAGGAGCCATAACAGTCTTCATGTGTTTAAGAAAAAAAATGTTTTGTTCTTAAAGGATATGTTACTACAATTCTGGATGATGCAAAAATTTATTCAAGCCATGCTAAGAAACCTAATGTCGATGCAGATGATGTGAGATTGGCAATCCAATGTCGAGCTGACCAGTCTTTTACCTCCCCGCCCCCGAGAGACGTGAGCAAACATTTAAGTTATTTTACTTACTGTTGTTTTTAACTTGTAGTTCTAATGAGAATTTTTCTTTTAGTTTCTACTGGATATTGCAAGACTGAAAAATCAAACCCCTTTGCCACTTATCAAGCCATATTCAGGACCTCGACTGCCACCTGATAGATACTGCTTAACAGCTCCCAACTATAGACTGAAGTCCTTAATTAAAAAGGTAAGTATATGGGCTGGAGATGTGACTTAGTGGTAGAGTGCTTGCCTTGCATGCATGAAGCCCTGGGTTTGATTCCCCAGTACCACATAAACAGAAAAAGTCAGAAGTGGTGCTGTGGCTCAAAGTGGTAGACCACTAGCCTTGAGCAAAAGAAGCTCAGGGACAGTGCCCAGGCACTGAGTTCAAGCCCCAGGACTGGCAAAAAAAAAAAAAGGTATTATCTTCAAGCCTGTAATCCTAGCTTCTCAGGAGGCTGAGATCTGATGATTGCTTTTCAGAGCCAGCCCAGGCAGGAAAGTCTAAGAGACTCATCTCCAATTAACCACCAGAAAAGCCAAAAGTATAGATCTGTGGCTCAAGTGGTAAAATGCTAGCCTTGAGCACAAAAGTTGAGGGACAGCATCCAGGCCCAGAGTTCAAGCCCCAGAATCAGCACCAAAAAAAAAAGTAAGAAGCTCTAATTAATGTTTCTTTTTTAAAAAACTTTGGCTATGATAAAGGATTTTTTTTTTGTCGGTTGTGGGGCCTGGGCACTGTCCCTCAGCTCTTCAGCTCAAGGCTAGCACTCTACCACTTGAGCCCTGGCTTTTTCTGCTTATTTGGTGCTGAGGAATTGAACCCAGGACCTCATGTATGCAAGGCAAGCACTCCACCACTGAGCCACCTTCCCAGCCCCAAGGAATTTATTTTTTAAGAAAAACCTGTACTAAGAAGCTAAACCACCTCACTAAAAGTTAAGATAACATACTGATTTTTAAATTTAAGTTGAACTAGAAGAAATGTTAGTATTCATCTCATCCAGGAGATATTTTCCCATCAGGAAACGAGCCCAAACTCATTTATGGATTTAATTAACAGAACTAAGATTGATTTCCAGATTTGGCAACTCCAAAATATGGTAACATTTTCTTAGTAATTTTCAATAACAGAATGAATGATACATTAACAGGAGTTGAGCCTATTGTTCTGGTTGTGGGGCATGAACTCAGGGTCTGGGCCTTGAGCTCTTTTTGCTCTAGGATAGTGCTCTACTACTTCAAGCCATAGCACCACCTTTGGTTTTCTGGTAGTTAATTGGAATAAGAGTCTCATAGACTTTGCTGCCCAGTCTGGCTTTAAACCGAGATCCTTAGAATAGCTAATATTATAGGCATGAGCCACCAGTGCCAGCTGTAAATTCTTTTTGTGTGTGTGTGGCATCGAGGATTGAACCCAGGGCCTTGGGCTTGCTAGACAGTTGCTCTGGCACTTGAGCCCAGCCCTGAGCCTTTTTCTGTTACCATTGAAACAATTAGTCCCCACATTGGATTGCATTTTCTGAAGTTCTTGCTGTAAAACAGGTTTGTTTTGTTTGGGGTTTTGTTGTTGTTTTGCTCTTTGCTAGGCCTAGGGCTTAGACTCAGCACCTGGCATTCTTGCTCAGTTTTTTCACTCATGGCTGGTTTGCTACCACTTGAGCCTCAATTGTAATTCTGGCTTTTTGCTGGGTGATTAGAGATTGCAGATTTATCTGCCTAGGCTGGCTCTAAACCAAGATTCTCATATCTCAGCCTCCTGATTAACTAGGATTACAACATGAATGAGCCACGAGTTCCCTGCTGTTTTTGTTTACTTTGGGGTGAAGATACTGACTAGTAAATATTAAAAATTACAGGGCTGGGAATGTGGATTTAGTGGTAGAGTGCTTGCCTGGCGTGCATGAAGCCCTGGGTTTGATTCCTCAGTACCACATAAACAGAAAAATTTGGAAGTGGTGCTGTGGCTCAAGTGGTAGAATGATAGCCTTGAGCAAAAGAAGCTCAAGGACAGTGTCCAGGCTCTGAGGTCAATCCCCAGGACTGGCAAAAAAAAAAAAAATTACAAAGAATCGCAGGGATACAGTGGCTCACACCTGTAATCTTAACTACTCAGGAGGCTGAGATCTGAGAAACCAAAGTTTGAAGCTATCCCATGTGATGCTTATCTCCAATAAGTTACTCAGAATCAGAGGAAAACAGGAAAAAATACAACAGAGGGACCCATCAGCTGCAGTAGACATTGGTGGAAATGAGCTAAGCAACTCAAGGGCAGTGATGGGAGAGAGGGAATGAGGGAACAGCTTACACTAAGCAAAAGGAAAGAAATGTACACATATATCACCCGATTTAGAAAAAAATAGTTGTTTTGTCAAAGTTTATAGAATTCACAAATTAATAGACCATGATCATGACAATGTCTTGTGAAAGTTAAAATGTGTTTTTTACTTTAAGTATCACTATCCTACAGTACTGTGAAATTTGTGAAATTTATGCAGTCACTTAATCTAAATTTTAAAAAATTATATATATAAAAAAGAAAAGGCCAGAAGTAGCATTGTGACTCAGTGGTAGAGCACTAGCCTTGAGCACAAAGAGCCTCAGGGACCATACCCAAACCCTGAGTTCAAGCCCCAGGACTGGCAAAAAAAATATTACAAAGAAGTTAGTTATTCTATCCATTCAGATATCTTTAGCTTAACTATACATAATTAAATACATAGGATCAGGGCCTGGGAATTTGGCTTAGTAGTAGAGTGCTTGCTTAGCATGCATGAGGCCCTGGGTTCAATTCCTCAGTACCACATAAACAGAAAAAAATCAAATTTAAAACGGGGCTGGGAAGATGGCTCAGTGGTAGAGTGTTTGCCTACATGCAGGAGGCCCTGGGTTCAATTCCTCAGCACCACATAAGCAAAAAAAGCCAGAAGTGGCACTGTGGCTCAAATGGTAGAGTGCTAGCCTTCAGCTGAAGAGCTGAAGGACAGTGCCCAGGCCCAGAGTTCAGGCCCGACAACCAACCAAAAAAAAATGTAAGATTATGCCTATGTTCATAAAGAAATGTACATGTTTATGAAAACCTACTTTAAACATTAGGCTTAAAACTCTGATACAGCAAAACGAAAACATTCTTGTCATGGATTATCCACTAATAATTCCCATCACCAATTGTGACTTTACTCTTAACATTAAACCTTATTTTTCAATCCTTTAGGGACCTAACCAAGGAAGACTAGTTCCACGATTAAGTGTTGGTGGGGTTAGTAGCAGACCAATTACTCCTACTGTAGGTAAGTAAAAGGGGAAAATGACTTTCCTGGCTGGTAAAAAAATGCCTCACCACTATGAATTTTATGCAGTTGCATATGTGTATTTGCAGATATATGTGGATAATCCAGGACAAGAATATTTTGGTTTTGCTCTATCAGAGTTTTAAGTCCAGTGTTCAAAATGGGTTTTCAAAAACATGTACTTTTCTTTATGAACATAAGTATATATGCCAAAAGGTGAGTCAAATATGTGCCACCATTGGTAATTCTCATCCTCTGGTAAAACTATAAACATTGATCTTACCACACTTCAAAATGAGAAAAACCACTAAGACTGATCCCAAATAAGTAGAAAATTTGGCATTATTCGACACTGTTGTTAGTGTGAAGTATTTCAGAAAATAGTGGTTTTTATACTAACCATTGATTGATCACCAGTACTGGGGTTTAAACTTAGCCTTGGTGCTTGCTTAGCTTTACTTGCTGGGATTGGATATTAAAAGACAAAAGGAAGAATTTAAAACAAATACATTTCCATGAATGCCTGTTTTGTTTTTGTCAGTACTGGGGCCTGAACTCAGGACCTGGCCAATGTCCCTGAGTCTTATTGTGCTTAAGGCTAGTGTTCTACCACTTGAGCCACAGCACTAATTCTGGCTTTTTCTGAGTAGTTTACTGGAGATAAGAGGCTTATGGCTTTTTCTGCCTGGGCTGACTTTGAACCTCTATCGTCATATCTCAGCATCCTGAGCAGCTAGAATTTCAGGCATGAGTCACTGGTGCCTGACTATAAATGTTTTTGGGGGTTTTTTAGAGTGTAGTTGTCAGTATGGATACGAAGTCTTGCAACATTCATTCATTAAGCAAGTATTTGTTGAGCACCTGTTAGGGGCAAGCATAATAGCCATGTACCAAAAAGATAGCCAAGGATTGTAAGTTTATGAATGGTGAATGAGATTAGACACTGAAGACTCCTATGACCTATTAAGGACTTTCTGAGACAGAAGGTAAGACTACTAAATGAGCAATCCAGGGATGTTTTATAGAATACAGTGATTGAGGGCTGGGAAGGTGGCTCAGTGGTATAGTGCTTGCCTTGCATGCCTGAGGCCCTGGGTTCCATTCCTCAGCACCACATAAGCACAAAGGAAAAAGCCAGAAGTGGTACTGTGGCTCAAGTGGTAGAGCGCTAGCCTTGAGCTGAAGAGCTGAGGGACAGCGCCCAGGCCCAGAGTTCAGTCCCCACGACCAGAACTCCCCCCCCCCCCCAAAAAAAAAGAATAGAGTGATTGAGATATCCCTTAAAATAAATGCTAGTATAGATCAGTGGTAAAGTGCTTCCTTCTCCAGCAATGCAAGACCAAATTAAGGGGTAGCATTAAATGACAAGTAGTTTGAACTGAGTTATCCCCAAATCCCCAATTTTCTTTCTGCTTAAAAAGTATCTGATCATAAAAAAGGAGTTAAGCTTTTAGTGCCCACCTGAGGATATAGTTGATTAGCTTCTTACATGTGCCTATCATTCTCTCCCTCTCCCTCATTTTCCCTTTCTCCCTCCTTCTTCCCCTTCCTCTCCCTTTCCCTCTCTCCTCCTTTCTCTTCCCCTTCTTCCCCCCTCAGGGCTTAGACACTGTCTCTGATCTTTTTTGCTAAAGGCTACCACTCTTGCCACTTGAGCCACACTGACATTGTTGGTGGTTACCCAGATTGTTAGTGGTTAATCCATAGTAAGAGTCTCAAGGAATTTCCTGCCCTACAGCTAGGATTATAGCATGAGCCTCTAGTGCCTGGCAAGCTTTAGTTCGGTGCATCTTGGTTTAGCTTCCTGAGCATAATAAACATCTAATTCTCAAAAAGTGACAGACTTTAATACCTAATGTAATTAATAAAAACTTGCTGAAGCTGTGGCTCATCACTGTAATCCTAGCTACTCAGGAGGCTGAGATCTGAGGATCACGGTTCAAAGCCAGCCTAGGCAGGAAAGTCCATGAGACTCTTTATCTCTAATTAACAACCAGAAAACCGGAAGTTGTGCTGTGGCTCCAACTGTTAGAACTCTACCCTTGAGTGAAAAAGCTCAAGGACAGCACCTAGGCCCTGAGTTCAAGCCCCACAACTGATCACAAAAAAGCAAAACAAAACAAAAACTTGCCCTCTTAGGAGAGGAACACAAAGGCACAGTACCTATGAACATCTGATCATATAATATTGATCTTGATTAACTCCAGGAAATGGAAATGAGGTTTTTTTCCTTGTTGCTGTTTTTGTTTTCTTTTTGTCATGTTTGTTCATTTATTGTGTCTGGGAAAGTAGGAGGACACAGAAATGGAGGGACAAACAGTTGGCAAATATAGCAGTGGTACTCACTAGACATTATGTGGAAAATGAACTATACAACTTAGGGGTAGGGATGGAAAAACCAGGAGAAAGCAAGGGAAAGGATGACATTGTTCCAGAAAAATCTATTTTTTTTCTTTTTTTTTTGTCAGTCGTGGGGCTTGAACTCTGGGCCTGGGTGCTGTCCCTCAGTTCTTCAGTTCAAAGCAAGCGCTCTACCACTTGAGCCACAGGGCTACTTCTGGTTTTCTGGTGGTTTATTGGAGATAGGAATCTCCCAGACTTTCCTGCTCAGGCTGGCTTTGAACCATGATACTCAGATCTCAGCCTCCTGAGTAGCTAGGATTACAGACGTGAGCCATTGGTGCCCAGCAAGAAAACTATTCTTTAAAAAAAGTGAATTTATTGTAAGGTGTTGTACAAAGGGTTTGAGTTACATAAGTAAGGCAATGTGTATGTTTCTTTTCCTTTTTTGGCGGGGGGGGGGGGGGGGCCGGTCGTGGGGCCTGAACTCTGGGCCTGGGCGCTGTCCCTCAGCTCTTCAGCTCAAGGCTAGCGCTCTACCTCTTGAGCCACAGCGCCACTTCTGGCTTTTTTCTTTGTGCTTATGTGGTGCTGAGGAATCGAACCCAGGGCCTCTGGCATGCAAGGCAAGCGCTCTACCACTGAGCCACCTTCCCAGCCCCAGCAATGAGTATGTTTCTTGTTGAACATTGTTACCCCTCTCATTTTTCTCCCACATTCCCTTCCCCCTAGTTCTTCCTCTCCCCTCCTCCCCCCCGAAATCTACTCTTTGTTTTTTTTTTGTCGGTCATAGGGCCTAAACTCTGGGCCTGGTGCTGTCCCTCCACTCTTCTGCTCAAGGCTAGCATAGCACTCTACCACTTGAGCCACCGCGCCACTTCCAGCTTTTTCTGCTTATGTGGTGCTGAGGAATTGAACCCAGGGCCTCATGCATGTAAGGCAAGCATTCTACCACTGAGCTACTTCCCAGCCCCAGAAATCTACTCTTTATCTGACTTATGTAACTTTAACTTCTCTGTACATCACCTTTATAATAACAGTAAAAAAAATAAAAAGGTAATTTTTTTAAAAACTTACCTCTTGGCTGGGTACAGTGGCTCATGTTGGTAATCCTAGCTACTTGAGAGAGTGATATGGTTAAAGTTCAGCCAGTGCAAATTTAGACTAGGTGAACTGAGGTCTGAGGCTAGCCCCAGACAAAAGTATGTTAAGACCTTTTTTGAAAAGGCTCAGAAGGTATGGCTCAAGAGGAATGCCTGCCTAGCCCTGAGTTAAAAAAAATCTAAGGAGGAGGCTGCAATGCTGATAAGAAATGTACGCATTATCCTGCCCATGAAATTGTAACCCCTCTGTACAGTATGTTCACAAAAATAAAATAAAATAAAATAAAAAAATCTAGGGCTGGGAATGTGGCTCATTGGTGGAGTGCTTGCCTTGCATGAATGAAGTAAGTACCACATACACAGAAAAAGCTGGAAGTAGTGCTATGGCTCAAGTGATAGAGTACTAGCCTTGAGCAAAAAGAAGCTCAGGGACAGTGCCCAGACCCAGAGTTCAAGCCACAGGACTGGCCAAAAAAAAAAATCTAGTACCAAGGTGAAAAAGGACACTATAGTGTTTAAACTCTCAACTTTATACTTTCATTTAGCTAAAATTCAGTGCTTACATCTGGGTGCTGGTGGCTCATACCTATAATCCTAGATACTCAGGAGGATGAGATCTGAGGATTGCTGTTCAAAGCCAACCCAGGCAGGAAAGTCCATGAGAGTCTTATCTCCAATAAACCATTAGAAAACCAGAAGTGGCACTGTGGCTCAAGTGGTAGAACGCTAGCCTTGAGCTGAAGAGCTGAGTGACAGTGCCCAAGCCCAGAGTTCAAGCCCCACAACCGACAAAAAAATAATCAGTGCTTACATACACTTAAAAGAATGACAGAGCCAGGCACTGATGGCTCACACCTGTAATCCTAGCTACTAAAGAGGCTGAGATCTGAGGATTGCAGTTCAAAGCCAGCCGGGACAGGAAAGTTCATGAGACTCTGGTCTCCAATAAACCACCATAAAACCAGAGGTGGCGCTGTGGCTCAAGGGGTAGAGCACTAGCCTTGAGCTGAAGAGCTGAGGGACAGCACCAAGGCCCAGAGTTCAAGCCCTGTGACTGACAAAAAAATGGCAGGAAGGGCTAAGAAGGTGGCTCAGTGGTAGAGCGCTTGCCTTGCATACATGATGGCCCTGGGTTCGATTCCTCAGCACCACATAAGCAAAAAGAAAAAAAGCCAGAAGTGGCACCGTGGCTCAAGTGGTAGAGCTCTAGCCTTGAGCTGAAGAACTGAGGAACAGCACCCAGGCCCAGAATTCAGGACTCACGACCAGACTCCCCTCTCCCCCAAAAAATGACAGGTCTAGTACCAAAAAAAGGAATGTGAAACAGGTCTTGTCTGGAGTGTGGGTACTAATGGCAGGGGGTGAGAGCAAATGGAGAGGGTAAATATAGTCATATGTGCAAATGAAACAGTGGAACATGTTGAAATTGGTTTGGGGAAGTGCGGAAGGAGGGCAATGAGGGAAAGTCATGGAGGGGGGTGATTCTGACCACAGTGTGTTTTATGGATATATAGATATGTCAAAATGAAAATTGCATTGCATGCTTAGCCAAGTCCTCCACCACTGAGATACATCCGCAGTGCAATTTTGGTACCATCTAAACTTGTAAACTTAAATTTTTACTTTGCTCTTTTCTCTAATGATTCTTTTCTCACTTTGTCCCCTCTTTTAAAGGTAGTTTGGGTAAACTAAGGAATGTAGAATATAAATCTGTATAAATTATCTTAACATGGTCTGTTGTAACTCCAGCAACCCCACAAACGGTCTCTATCCCAAATAAAGTTGTAACTCCGGGGACAGCAACAAGCCAAAGATTTACTATGCAGATGCCACCTTCTCAGGCTACACCTATCAAACCAGGTAATATGATCGGTGGGGTGAGGGAAAAGACAGAATTCACTAATAATTCATAGTTGTAGAACAGTTTGTTCCTATGGCATGTTAAATTATTCTTCATAACAGGAAGGTAGTGGGAATGTTGCCAGTTAAAACCTTGAGGTCATGTCTGAATCCTCTAAAATTATATCAAATTTACATAAACCTAAAGTTTTCAGGGAGAAAGAAGATAAAGCATTCAGCGTGATCATCAGATTCTCAAATACAACTAAAATAAGAGTTCAACCAGTGTTTTGCGCCTGTAATCCTAGCTACTCAGGAGGCTTAGATCTGAGGATCATGGCCTGCCAAAGTCTGTGAGACCCTTATCTCCATAAGTGGAGGTGTGGCTCAAGTGGTACTAGCCTTGAGCAAAAGAATACTCAGTGACAGTGTAGAGAGTTCAAGCCCCAACACCAGCACAACAAAAAAGGGTTCACAAGTCTAAGGTATCTTCAGGGAAAAACACTTTTCTTTAAAGTTTAAGAAAAGATAGTCTACTCATGAAAGTGTGTGTGTGTGTGTGTGTAATCTAGATGTTAATATAAATTCAAATAAAAATCATACCTTTACTCATTACATAAAAGACACTGTTGATTGAATTGTGAGTAGAATTCTGGTATAGCATATTTTAATGCATATGTTTAGATTTCATATCTTGAAACTTGTCTGCGTACAATAAACTTAAAAGCATAGCATGACTTCTACACTTGAACATGTGTATTCAGTATGAGTTCAGTGTACTAAATGCTAATTGAAATTTTGTTCATTAAACTTCTTTAGCCGCATGCTAGTGGCTCACACCTGTAATCCTAGCTACTCAGGAGGCTGAGATCTGAGGATCACAGTTCAAAGCCAGCCCAGGCAGGAATATCTGTGAGGCTATCTCCATTGAACCACCAGAAGACTGGAAGTGACCCTGTGGCTCAAAGTGGTAGAGTAGTGTTAGCCTTGAGCAAAGAAGCTCAAGGACAGCACCCAGGCCCTGAGCTCAATTCCCATAACCAACAAAAGGAAAAAATAAAACTTCTTGAAAACAATTCCTTTTTTTTTGTAGGTCATGGGGCTTCAACTCTGGGCTTGGGCGCTATCCCTGCGCTCTTCAGCTCAAGGCAAGCGCTCTACCACTTGAGCCACAGCACCACTTCTGGTTTTCTGGTGGTTAATTGGAGATAAGAGTCTCATGGACTTTTCTGCCGGGGCTGGCTTTGAACCATGATCCTCAGATCTCAGCCTCCTCAATAGCTAGGATTATAGGCGTGAGCCACCAGCGCCCAGCTAAAACAATTTCTTTTAATGTAGCTTAGATATGTTTCTAATCTTGTTTATCTTTTAATATGGTTTATGTGCCAGTTAAAATACATTCAACTCTTAATGAAGTAATTACCTGGGCGGTTGTACTCTACACTACTGAAACATCCTAATGAATTACATGAAGTTTTGTTGTATACTTTTGACTACATGTTTTGAGGTCTGCATAATTCAGTTTATGGGCCTTCCTTCTGTTCACAGTTCCTTCAACAACTCCAGTTCAAAATGTTCTGATTAATCCTTCCATGATTGGGCCCAAAAATATTCTGATTACCACCAACATGGTTTCATCACAGAACACGGCCAATGATTGCAATCAGCTGAAGAGAAAACATGAAGATGATGATGACGATGATACAATGTAAAGAATATATTCTAGTTACACTGCAAAAGTGTAGCTGGTTTTGAGCCCATATACTTACAAGCCCTCTTAAATTTTATCATAGAAAAGGTAAATGTAGTTGCAATATTTTTCACTTAAGTTAAAATTTAGATTTAATAAGAGTACAAATGTGTTTTTTACCATTAGTATAAAAGTTAAGTACTTATTCCTTAATAGTGTCATTCATGGCAGTTCTGTTTTGGGAGCAGTTTTCTGCTATTAAGTGACAGCAGCACTTAAATTTCAAATTTCTACACTCTAATCAGTGGACTAATTTTACTTCCTAATATACTTTTCGATGCAAAGTAATATTTCTAAGGTAAAATAATCACATTTGTCAATTTTTTTTTTTTTTTACCAAATCTCAGTTTAGCCAGATTGTTTTAGAAATGCTTGATTGGGATTTCTAAGTCAATTTTGAGTATATTTAATTAAGCTATTTCTTGATCTTTCTTAACTCTCACTTCAATTCTCTTTCTAGATCATATTTTTCTGCACCCACTCCCACAGCCTTAAGTTTCTCCCCATTGTCCTTAAATCTAAAAGGCTGTAACTGGAATTTTTAAAATACCATTCCTAAAAATAGAGTTCAGTATCACTTCCATATTTGTAACCTTTTTTTTCCAGTGTTGGGCTTGAACTCAGGGCCTAGGCACTATCCCTGAGCTTCTTTTGCTCAAGGTTAGCACTCTACCACTTGAGCCACAGTGCCACTTCTGGCTTTTTCTGTGTATGTGGTACTGAGGGTTGAACCCAGGGCTTCATGCATGCTAGGCAAGCACTTTACCACTAAGCCACATTCCTAGCCCCATATTTTTAACTTTTAAATTTCAAGAGATGCTATAGCTTAAAATTTGCCTTGATAAGTAAACTACACTGGATCTTGACAAAACCACTAAAGAGCAAGTATTTTCTTCCTACCAGATGTACACATGCTTTTGTCACTACTGCTTGAATCCTATTGGTATAATTCAGATAATTTTCTAGCTTGCTGCTGAGCCACACCTAAGATGGGATCAAACCTAAAAGTAGACTCTAATACACTCCTATATAGGCCAAAAGGGAAAAGTATGTGACTTCCTCTGGATGCCAGTTTCCCGGTGATGTTGCTACTTTCCCATTTATACTCACCTAAAAAGTCTTACTGGGACAGATAGCAAAACCTTGAGAACATGAACAGAACAAATTGTCTGGTTTAGTAACTTACATACTTGACACCGAAGTACTTAATACAGACTTTTCTAAAATCTTTATGTCATATTTTACAATTTATAGCCAAGGATCCTCATAACTTTTTGAAGTTTCATCTTAGGATAGTGTTTGATGTGTCTGAGAAAACAGTGCAGTTAACATAGAAATTTTTCATTGGTTTAAGGGCTGTTAGGGAAAGTGATTTTACCACTTCCATAAACAGATCTGATTGGTATCATAGTAGAAATGTGCATCGTATCTAGCGTGGTTATCTTACTTGAATGTTCTCAGGGAGACAGTATCTGAAGGTCTAGCTAGATTCTAGTCTTTGCTCCATCATTTACAAGCTGACCTTACTTCACCTCTGAGCCTTGTTCTCCTCACTAGTAAGAGAAAAACAACTACCCTGCCTACCTCACAGCAATGTTGTGAGGGTTTAATTGGTGTATGTGAAAGTTCTTTCAAAATTGAAAAATGCTATATAACTATAAACTATTATTAATGTTATTTGTTCCAATGTTATTAATAAAAATTTTAAGTTTATCAGTGATCTTTCATTGCTGGCTATAGCGATTCAAGGTAAATGAAGCATAGTAATTCTAAGGGAAGGGCTACAAAGCAGTTAGGATCTGTTTAGTGGATGAACTGATCATACATTAATTGTTGGCTTTCACTAGGAATGAGAATGTCTTAAGCTTTGCACTAGATGGGAATTTGTACATATATCTAAATCTGAGCTTAATTGATTTAACCGTTCAACCAGTGGGTGTGGTTTGTTCTTTCAAATTAGGACTGCTTTGTCTTACAGCCTTTAACTTCAGCTGAATCTAGCGTTAAGGATTACTTAAGGACGCTCTTGTTCTCCCGACTTTCAGGTGGTTTTAAAAATATATTGGGATAAGGTAAGGACACTCACTGTCTCTCAGGTTCTTCCCCTTTACAAGCAAGAAACAAATACTTATGATTTCCTACAAATAAGCGAATACAACCAGCATGGAGGAAGGATGGACGGAGGTATACCTTAATGTTCCAGGGATCCAAAGAGAAGTAAAGTACAAGAAGTAGGATAAAAAGTACTAATCAAAGCAGCAAGCATACCTTTTTAGTATACATAAATACATGGATGTTCTTCATTTGCACTAAGTAGCTCTAGACTGAAAACTAGTCCTAGGAAGGTTTGCCTCTGGGAAGGGGAACCAGTAGGCCCCTTTTTGATCTCATGCAAACCCCTATGTGCCATGGGGAAATTTGGGATGTAAAAAGGAACCAGTGAGTTAGAGTTGGTAACTATTAAATTGAAGCATAGGCTTGCACTATCCTAGTTTATGTGATAAGAAGTTACTTGTTGCCAACTATTTCCCTTGACTAGGCTTTTAATTCCTTCAGGCATAATTCCCTCATGCATATAGTATTTAAATATTTAGCTAATTGCCAAGTTGGGTTTTTTTTTGTGCCAGTCCTGGGGCTTGAACTCCAGGCCTATACACTGTTACCGCAGTATTGCTCAAGGCTAGCCCTCTACCACTTGAGCTACAGCTCAACTTACAGCAGCTTTTTTGTGTGTGTGTGGGGGGGGGGGGGGTTGTGGGGCTTGAACTCAGCCTGAGTGCTGTCCCTCAGCGATTCAGCTCAAGGCCAGCGCTCTACCACTTGGGCTACAGCACCACTTCTAGTTTTCTGGTGGTTCATTGGAAATAAGAGTTTCACGGACCTTCCTGCCTGGGCTGGCTTTGAACCGCAATCTCCTCAGATCTGTCTCCTGAGTAGCTAGGATTACAGGCGTGAGCCACCAGCACCTGGCAGCTTTTTTATTATTATTGTATAGTCTCGGACTTTTCTGCTCAGGCTGGCTTTAAACCACAATCCTAAAATCTCAGCCTCCTGAGTGGCTAGGATGACAGGTGTGAGCTACCAGTGACCAGCTGGCCAAGTTTTTCAGACTGGATTTCCCAGTCACTTTTTAGAAACCTTAAATAAGTGGGAAGATGCTGGAAGAGTATATTTGGATGGATAGATGAAATAAAATTTCATCTGTGACTAAAGACAACAAAACTCACTGAAAGCTGTAGATACAATGAGGATGGAGAAATTAAGCAAGCGAGGGTCAATATGCTTAAAATTCTGTATATTCAGGTGTAGAACAAAGAGGGAACCTCTTTGAACAATGAACAATTAGCATATGTTAAAAATCACAAGAGTGTAAAAGTCTAGTAGAGAGTACTTTTAAAAGGTACAATAAGCTCCAGGAAATGGAAACAAGGCTTTCTTTGGTTAAAAAAAAAATTTAAGAGTCTGGCACCAGTGGCTCACGCCTATAATCCTAACTGCCCCAGATGCTGAGATCAGAAGATCAAAGCTCAAACCTGCCAGTCTATGACTGGCAATTAACCACCAGAAAACCAGAAGTAGTGCTGTGGCTCAAAGTAGTAGAGTGCTAACTTTGAGTGAAAAACTACATTACAGTGCACAGGCCCTGAGTTCAAGCCCCATGACTGACACGTAACATTTTTTTTTAATCTGCCTTAAAGGAACTAATGCTTCATCTTGAATACAAAATGTCCAGCATTGAACTTTCTAGTGAAATATGGCCTTCCCAGGACACCCACAGCTCACACAATCTTTTGCAACTCGGGGCTGAGATCTGAGGATCACAGTTGGAAGCTAATTTGGGCAGAAGTGACTTAACCAGCCAAAATCCAGAATTACACCACACTTATGACTCAAATGGTAGAGCTCCAATCTCAAGGATAAAAGCTAAGGGAGGCTGTGCAGGCCGGAGTTCAAGCCCCAATGATCATTCATACACAACACATACACACACACACACACTCACAACAACAACAAAGTCTTTCAAATACTGGTTACCTTTCCTTTCTCCCAAAAATCCACTAAAATGAGAACAAAAATATAAGGGAAAATTCTAAGGATAAGAGAATGAGAATAGCACTGGGTCCAATAGCATTGGACTCAACCGTGAAAATGATGCCTTCAGGATAAAAATTTTTTTTGGGGGGGGGGGTGTCCAGTCGTGGGCCTGGGCGCTGTCCCTCAGCTCTTCAGCTCAAGGCTAGTGCTCTACCACTTGAGCCACAGAGCCACTTCCAGCTTTTTTACTTTTTGCTTATGTGGTGCTAGGGAATCGAACCCAGGGCCTCATGCATGCAAGGCAAGCGCTCTACCACTGAGCCACCTTCCCAGCTCTCAGGATAAAATTCTATATATACTCAGGGCTCAATAAAAAAGGATTAAAACAGCCAATAAACCACCAGAAAACCAGAAGTGGCACAGTGGCTCAAGTGGTAGAGTGCTCTCCTTGAGCTGAAGCACTGAAGGACAGTAGTGAGGCCCAAAGTTCCAGCCCCTCAACTTTAAAAAAAAAAGGATTAAAATATTAAAAACTTGGATCTGTACTGGACATTTGCATACTTTTCTTTAATCATTAATCCCTGAACAGTACAATAGCTTATTCCAGGACATTTCCATTGTAGAGATGATTTAATATTGGTATGTGAAGTAAACGAGATTTAAATATATGAGAGCCTACACATGGGTTACAAATACTACATTGTACGTAAGGGGCGAAGTATATGACCCTTGTATGGTCTGGTATGTTAAGGGGCTTCCCAGAACCAATCCTCCACAGATATAAACATGACAGAGCTAAAATGGCAGTATAAGAGTTGAATAAAGCCATTTCAGACAGAAGGTAGCAAAGATATTTGTCTATTCTAGGCTGTCTTTCTTAGAAGCTAGGAGTCTTCCACAAAAAATAAACAGAAGAGGATCTAGGACCCAAGAGTCTCCATGGATATAGGAAATAGGAAAATCCCAGAACAAGAAACTGTACAGCAAAGTTACAGGGCAGCCAGAACAAATA